CTTGCAAAAAAAGGAGGGGGAGAACGAGGGAGAGTGGGAGGAAAGGAGGAGGAGGGACGAAGGAAGAGGGAAAACGCCAGGAGAGAAGGAGCGAAGAGGGGGGCGGTTGATTAGAGACAGAGAAACAGAGAGAAAGAGAGAGAGAGAGAGAATAACAGATAAGGGAGGTAGAGAAAAAGAGAGAGAGAGGGGAGAGAGAGAGAAAGAAAGAAAGAGGAAGGGAGGAGGCAGGAGAGGGGAGGGAGAAGGGAGGAGAGAGAGGAGGGAAAGGGGATAGGGCAGAGAGGCATAAGGTTGAGGGAACAGAGGAGGGAGAGAGAAGGGAGGAGAGGAGGGAGGAGGGAGGAGGGAGGAGGAGCAGGAAGGTAAGAGCGTGAACCTTCGAGGAAGGCCTAGGCGAAAGCGCCGTTCCTGAAGGAACTCTCGGGCGGGAGCCCACGACGGACGGGCGATCCCCTGACGGGCGGGTCGGGCGGGTGGGACATTCAAGCGGGATGCTTGAGTATGGCGAGAGCGCGATTATTAAGTAAGTTGTAACGGCGTCCTTGGCGCAGCGTGTTTCCTGAGCGTCGAAAACGCGATTTCTGAATAAAGTGCATGCAAATCACAGGCGAGAGCGCAATTCCTGAATAAAATGTGAGGGGTTCTCTGGCGGGAGCGGGGGTTTTGATTAAATTGCGAGGAAGTCTTGATTCAATTGCGAGGAAGTCTCAAGCCGGAGCGCCGTTCCAGAGCAAATTGTGAGGAAGTCTCAGATGGGAGCGGGGGTCCTGACTAAATTGCGAGGGAGTCATAGGCGGGAGCACCGATCCTAAGTAAATTGTGTGGAAGTCTCAGGAGCGGGGGTCCTGAGTAAATTTGGAGGAAGTCTCAGGCGGGAGCCGTTGTTGTTGGAATCCAGGGGGCCAGGGGCCCAGCTTGAGCAGGAAATTTTCCCTGTCCAAAAACAGGGTGCGAGCGTCGAGGGGCACACTTTGATTGAGAAAAAGCAGCATGCACCGTTGAGGGGGGATCAGCAATAATTATTCTTCATAAGTGAGAGTTCAACAACAACAACAACAACAACAACAACAACAACAACAACAATCACTTTACCCGAACGCTCAGTGTTCTCACCAGTGCCAGGGTTTTCATGCGACGCCAGCCAATACCCCCACTTTGTGGGGGGGCAATGCAAGCTCTACCAAATATCCACACGACTCTTCGCCACCACCCACACCCAGCTTCCCGCCCTATGACGTTCGGACACTTCACTTCGTGGCCTGCGGACGACCGTGGCTACTACACTGGCGTGGAGTACACACCCACAGAAGTTGTTAAGCCTACGTTCGTACACCCACAGAAGTTGTTAAGCCTTGTTAACCCACAGAAGTTGTTAACCCACGGTGCGATTCGTGTGATTGATGCGCGGTGCTAAAATTCTAGAAGCCCAATGGTTTTTGGAGATTTCGGCGTGCGCGCGCGAAGAAAAAACGAATGTGTCCCGCATGGTATTATTTGACAGGGATGATGGCCCTGGCAGGTGCGCAACCGTTGTCGCAGAAGTTCGAAAAAGTTGCTCGCAAAAGCCCGTTTGACAGAAATGTTTAAAAAGTGTTGGGTTTCCTACGAATCCGCAAGAGCGCGCGGGATGAGATTTTGACATTTTTTTGTTGAAAAACCATTGGTTTTTTGATGTTTTTATGTTAAAATCGCTCCGAACACTAAGCTTTTGGAAGGATTTCGTCTTGCGCGCGCGAATGTCCACTTTACCTTATTTTTTGCAAGGGATTCTTGAAATTTGATTATATTAGAACAAGAAATGTCATTTTATAGTGTTTTTTGCAAGGGAAAACGGATTACAACAAAACAACCGGATCTTGATGACATCGTATTACCTGAGGCTTCCTCACGAAAATGATGAAAATGTAGCTGCGGCCTAGGCGCGGCGGGGGGGGCGCGCACCAGGGGCCCCAACAATAATTATTCTTTAGAATTAATAATGTTCAACAACAACAACAGCAGCAACAACAACAACAATAATCAGGTTAAGAGTGTTCGCTCTCATCTGCTCGCGTGTCATTCAGTATGCATATCCCAAACCCTGGATACCCGCCCTTTTCGTTTTCGATCGTACCCCCGCTTGGGGGGTAGATTCATTCCCTGACACGCGTGGTTGGTGAAGCCCTTGAAAACGAAGGGTAACAGGTACCGGGGGAGAATGAGGACGAAGGGATCGGAGGAAGGGAGGGGAGGGGCAAGAAGGAAGGAGGACGATGATTTGCGCTGCGAGTGGCGATTCAGCTTGCGCCATGGCTTGCGCCACGAAGGGCGACAGCGGGGCCGCGAAGGGCATGCATATGGGGCCACGACGGGCGCGAACGAGCGGGGGCCACGAAGGGCATTCGTATACGGGGCCACAAAGGGCGACAGCGGGGCCATTGAGGGCAGCATAGGGGCCACGAAGGGCAGCGAGAGGGCCACGAAGGGCGACAGCGGGGCTACGAAGGGCATGCGTATGGGGCCACGACGGGCGACTGCGAGCGGGGGCCACGAAGGGCATAAATGTGGGGCCACAATTTGCAGCGACGGGGCCCCTGAGGGCAGCAACGGGGCCACGAAGGGCGGTAAGCGAAGGCGACCGCGGAACCAGCACGGGCAGCGACGGGCATCGAAGGCGGGCGAAGGGCAGCGAGCGGCGACTGCAGTCCCTAACGGGCTGGTCGGGCGGGCAGGCCCAGACGGGCGGGTCGAGCGGGCGGGTCGTTGAAGCGTAAATTCTGGTTGAACCGCCAAGCAATATATATATATATATATATATATATATAACGGAAGCGCGCTTCCTGAGTGTCGAGGAGCGGCATCTGAATACATTGTGAAGAAGTATCAGGCGGGAGCCGCGATTCGGTGGTAAGTTGCGAGGAAGTCCCAAGCGAGAGCGCGACTATTCAATAAATTGCGAGGAAGTATCAAATGGGAGCCGCGATCTGGTGGTAAATTGCAAGGAAGTCCAAAGCGAGAGCGCGATTCTTCAATAGATTGCGAGGAAGTATCAGGCGGGAGCCGCTGTTGTTGTAAACCTGGGGCCAACGACACAGTTTGACCTTCAAGACTTTCCCTGATAAAAACAGGGTGCGAGCCCCGGGAAGGGCACTTCAATCGAAAAAAACAATGTGCACCGGACGGGGGGGATCAACAATAATTATTCTTCAAGAGTGAGAGTTCAACAACAACAACAACAACAACAACAACAACAACAATCATTTAAGACTGGGGACACTCCGTTCTCACCAGTGCCAGGGTTTTCATAGGAGGCGGGCAATACCCCCACTTTGTGGGGGGGCCGGTTCAAGCTCTACCAAATTTCCAAACGACTCTTCGCCACCACCCACACCCAGCTTCCCGCCCTATGACGTTCGGACACTTCACTTCGTGGCATGCGGACGACCGTGGCTACTATTCAGGGCCCCGCGGCCGACGACGACGGCGTGCGCGCGCGAAGAAAAAACGAATGTGTCCCGCATGGTATTATTTGACAGGGATGATGGCCCTGGCAGGTGCGCAACCGTTGTCGCAGAAGTTCGAAAAAGTTGCTCGCAAAAGCCCGTTTGACAGAAATGTTTAAAAAGTGTTGGGTTTCCTACGAATCCGCAAGAGCGCGCGGGATGAGATTTTGACATTTTTTTGTTGAAAAACCATTGGTTTTTTGATGTTTTTATGTTAAAATCGCTCCGAACACTAAGCTTTTGGAAGGATTTCGTCTTGCGCGCGCGAATGTCCACTTTACCTTATTTTTTGCAAGGGATTCTTGAAATTTGATTATATTAGAACAAGAAATGTCATTTTATAGTGTTTTTTGCAAGGGAAAACGGATTACAACAAAACAACCGGATCTGGATCACATCGTTTTACCTGAGGCTTCCTCACGAAAATGATGAAAACGTGGCTGCGGCCTAGGCGCGGCGAGGGGGGCGTGCACCAGGGGGCCCAACAATAATTATTCTTTAGAAGTAATAATATTCAACAACAATTTTAAGATTGCTCGCCTTTTATATGCTCGAGTGTCCAATAACGCGTATTTCCCAAACCCTCGATACCCGCCCTTTTCGTCTTCGATCGAACCCCTTCTGGGGGGTATACTTTTCTTCCCTGCAGGCCGGGCCCTGGCAAGCGGCGGGGCGGCCGCGGACCGTCGGCCTGGCCAGCGGCAGCGCTGATCGGCGGGGCGGCCGCGGACCGTCGACCCGACCCCAAGAGGGACGGACAGGGGACCGACCACGACGACGACGACGACGACGACGACGACTTCGAAGACGACGGCGACGACGACGACGACGGCGACGACGAGCGAAAGCGAGAGCGAGAGAGAACGACACCAGGGCCACGAAGGGCACGAAATAGGCCACGAAGAGCGCGAACGAGCGGGGGCCACGAAGGGCAGATAATGCGGGGTCACACAAAGCAATTATGGGGCCACTGAAGGTAGCAACTGGAACACGTAGGACAGTGAGGGGGACACAAATGGCGACACCGGGGCCACGAAGGGCATGCACATGGGGCCACAACGGGCGCGATTCCTGGGTGCGTGGGTGTCGGGAGCGCGGCGCTTCGGCAAATTGCAGGAATTTCCAACGCAAGGCTATTCTTCAGTAAGTTGCAAGCAAATCTCCAGCGAGAGCGCGACTCCAGAGCGCCGGGAGAGCGATTCCGGAATAAATTGTAAGGAAGTCCCAAGCGAGAGCGCGATTCCTGAACAAAATGCGAGGAAGTCTCGGGCGAGGGCGGGGGTCCTGGCTAAATTGTAAGGGAGTCTCAGGCGGGAGCCGTTGTTGTTGTAACCTGGGGGCCAGGGGCCCAGTTTGAGCATCAAGGCTTTCCCTGTCAAAAAACAGGGTGCGAGCGTCGAGGGGCACACTTTGATTTTGAAAAAACAGTGTGCACCGGTGGGGGGGGATCAACAAAACTTATTTTTCAGAAATGAGAATTCAACAAAACGCCCCTCGGGCCCAGCGGCTGTGGAGGCTGCTCATCCAGCTGTACTGCCTGGTGTCGGGGTGGTACTTCCTCGCGCACGGCCTGGCGCGCCCGCCGCCGCCTCGATGCGCGGGCGCCTGAAGGAAGCTGGCCCCTTCAGGGGGGAGGGGGGGGCGGGCGTTTCCAGGCCCCGGGGCCCTCATCAATCGATCTGGCTCGAAAAGTGACGCAGAACGAGGGGTCCAAGGCTGCGGTCGAGGTATCTCTACGATGTTGTCTTTTTCGAGGCGTCGGATCTCCGGGGGGGGGAGTTGCAGCGTCGGTAATCGTAGCCTGGCAAGGCCGAAAGAGTCCTTGAGACCCATGGAGCAATTTTTCCCCCCCTGAAGCACCAGACGGCGCAGGAACGGAGCCAAATTCTGCTTGGCCACAACAATCGACATCGACCAATGGTGCCATGATTATGTTTCGCGTTCCGACCCAGCAACTGTCTGCTTTGCTGTCCTTGGACCCGCCAGCCCCTGGAGGGGCGATGTGCCACGGCCCTCTCAGGGTGCTCTCTCGCCCTGGGCTGACATGTGGGAACGATCGCATAATCGCCCGGTTGCCGGAGGCACGGGCCAAGATGTCCCCCCCGAGTTCTAATTAGATTGGCACGGTCTTCGGGCCGATCGGGAGTAGCATAGCGTAGCGGCCTGGGTGGGAGTCTCCGGGCGGGACCTCCGCCCTCGGGGGCCATGCTTGGGTTTCGCAAGCTCCGCCGCACGGAAGCTGGAGGCTGGAGGGTTCGGCTCGAGAGCTCCGCGGAAGGAGTTCCAAGCAGACGTGGAGGGGTGGGAGGGCGAAAAACGGCCCTACCATTCCAGTCGGTCAAGTGCTTGCGAGCAGCAAGTCCAGGAGGAGCTGGTACGGGGCGTGGGAGGAAGCCGGCTCGGATGCATCCAGAGGGCTGCACAATCCGTATCCGTGTGGTTTCTCACCTTCCAGGTTGAGCGTGAGCAGCGGATCAGATGTGTTTGGTGCCTCTGAGCGGGTCTGTCTCCTGGGGTGCGGGGACGAGGAGGAACTGCGAACTGGGCAGTTGGGGTCCCATATGAGCGACGCAGAAAACCGGGTTCGATTTCGCCGACATTCGCGCGAAAGTTGTCCGCGTGAGGTTGCGCGTAAGCGCCCTCGTCTCAAATGTAGCGTGCCTTGCTGGCAGCCCGCGTAAGCCGCGGCGCAAGGTCGCGCGTGGGACAAGTTTGTCTTAGTCGTTCAGATGCATATCGGGCATTACCCCATAAGCGGCCACCCTGCCACCGGTCTGTCAGCCAGCCAGCGGCACTGCCCGATCTTCCCGCTCGCCTCGCTAAAACCCTCGGCCCACTTTCGGTTGCTGCGCCTTGCGCTTTCCGACGGCCTCGCCAGAAGCGCCGCGGCGTCGTTTGGGGGCACGTCTAGATCTCCTTTGGGGGACATCTAGGGCTCCAGATGCCATTTGGATCCATTGAAATTGGCACAACGTGCCCCGAGAACAAGGGATCCAACGGTTCCTTGTCCAATGCCCTCACCGTATTTGTAGTGTGTGTGCGCGGCCGATTGTTGCTGCACCCAAGGACCCAGTGCAGCGTCGTTTTTCTGGCCAGTACTTGCGCTCACCCAGGGCCTGCGCGCCAGCGTGCTCGCCGCTCGGAAGCGTGCTGGCCTCCCCTGCGAGAAGCAGAGCTCAGCGGCGATTGCAGTGGCAGGTTGCTACAGCGAATGGTGGCCATAACAAAAGGTTGCGAGTAATCACGTCTCGCGAGCGGTGACGGGTTGAAACAGACTAGATGAAAGTAGAGATCCTACTAGCGTTCATTCCGATTTGTGTTGTTTGAGGGCCCAGGCTCTAATACAACAGGCTCGCATCCCAGGACTGAGCTGTTTGATCGCCGCTACTCAAGTGCAGGATTTGCGGTCTTGCAGAGGCTCATGGTAAAGGAGCTTGGTAACGGGGTCGCCCCCAAAGTGTGGGTTGGCAGTTGTGCCTTGGAAAGGTTTCTTGAGTCAACGCTCCCGGATGAAATGTTGATAGGTCTTGAAGAGTTTGCAGAGTCGAGCAGGAATTGCATGTGGGAGCTGCGTTTACTTTGCAGTGTATGTTGCGCGCGTTGTGCCCAGGCGCCGCCATGCAGGCCACTCTTCCAGTGGCTTCTGTGCTATTGTGTTGCACTTACTGTGTTTCCCGTCTGCTTCATTATTGCAGGACCTACTCTTCTCTTTGGCCTGAGCTGAGCTTCGTCACACGTTGCTTCCACACGTTCTTGCTACCGATGCATTTTCGACGCATGCCTTCAACATGGTGCGTTATTGCATACCAACACGCTGGATGTATTTTGTGTTGGGCGTGACCTGAATTCAAATGGTATTGACATATTGGTGATTATGTTTGCTGCGATCGGCTCCTGGAGAAACTACCTCATCAGCCACCCGCGATATGTCGCCCACCTCTCTCCGCATCTGGCTTGGCCAGGGAGCATATACCAAACACAGAACTGCCATATATCAGGCTTGACTGCATCACATTTCTGGTGAATTGCACCGCACATTTGTTTCGCTTGCACCTCCCGCCATTGGGTGTAGCAGTTGATCATGCAGGCCGGCCGCGGGCGGCGGCAAGTTCGGCGAGTCGGCATATGATTGGCACGTGCACGGGTCGCTGCCACGTGGGCCGATCCCAGGTTTTCCTCGAAGCTTGTTGTCGTGCAACAGAAACCCATTGCGCAGCGTTCTCTTTCCAGGACCTTCGGTGCGCGTTGGAGCCAGGGATTGGTATGAGCGGTAGCGCGTTAGTCCGTGACACAGAAAGCGTGACCGTGGGTGGCTGTGGTGTTCGGGCCGGTCCGTCAGCTCGTGGCGAGGAGCAAGTTCGTGTTCGAGGCTCGCCGCGGTCAGAGGAGCCCTTCCGTCGCTTCTTCAGCGTTCCTCGCGGCAGCACGATGACTGTGCTGATTGAGCAGGACCCCTGCTGGTGTGGTACTGGATCCGGGGCGTCATGATCCAGGAGACCATGTCCAGCGAGTGCGCTCACGTCGCCCCGACCGCCTGCATTCATGCCAGCATCCGCGCGTGGTCGTCTGAGCTTCGCTTGGCTGCCGCTCCGTGGGCAGAGCGATTGAGAGGGCCGAGCCTTTTGGCCCCGTCTGCCCTCGCCTCGCCCTCCTCCTCCTCCTCCTCCTCCTCCTCCTCCTCCTTAGGCCTTAGGCTGGAGCTTTCCCTGGTTCATCCCCCCGGTTGTCTTCTCATCGAGGGGGTTTTGTGGACTGCTTTGCCCGACCTGACCTCCTCTTCCTCCTCCTCCTCCTCCTCCTCCTCCTCCTCCTCCTGGTCCTCCTCCTCCTCCTCCTCCATTCCTTCTCCTTATAAATAATTTCTCCCTGTCGCGCCAGGAGCCCAGTTTTTAGGGCGGGACAGGCGTTTCGCCTGAGACTTCTTCACCATTTATGATTCTGAAGCTTAAATGGGGCAACAGCTTCACAGATGGAGGGCGGGTAGTTTTCAAGATGTGGCTCTCGCCTTAGCGCCGCGCACATTCGTTTAAAAAACTTACAACAACTTCACAGATGGAGGGCGGGTGGTTTTCAAAATGTGGCTCTCGCCTTAGCCCCGCGCATATTCGTTTTGAAAATTTGCAAGAGCTTACGGATCGAGGGCGGGTGGTTTTCAAAATGTGGTTCTCGCCTTAGCGCCGCGCACATTCGTTTTAAAATCTGCAAGAGCCTAACGGATTGAGAGCGGGTGGTTTTCAAAATGTGGCTCTCGCCTTAGTGCCGCGCACATTAATTTTCAAAAATTGCAGGAGCTTCACGGATTGAGGGCAGGTGTTTGTCAAAATGTGGTTCCCGCCTTAGCGTTGCGCACATTCTTTCTAACAAGTTGCAAGAGCTTCACGGATTGAGGGCGGGTGGTTTTCAAAATGTGGCTCTCGTCGTAGCGCCGCGCACATTAAGTCTAAAAATTTGCAGGAGTTTCACGGATTGAGGGCGGGTGGGTTTCAAAATGTGGTTCTCGCTTCAGCGCCGCGCTTTAAAAGCTTGCTTGAGCTTCACGGATTAAGGGAGGTTCCTTTCTAAAATATGGTGCTCGCCTTAGCGCCGCGCACATTATTTTCAGCAGTAAGCAAGAGCTTCACGGATTCCCATGATCAACGTACCAGGAGTTTCTTTTTGGAAGGATTCAGGAATACGCGGGTGCAACAGTTATGTTGATTCGCGGTGTTGAAGTCCCAAAAATGGCGTTGCGGCACGGTTCCGGATCGTCAAGACGCAGCTGTCAGGTTGATCCGTGGTGTTGAATTCCCGAGAACAGTGTTTTGGCATGTTTCAGGGTTTTCAAACGGTTGTCTTCCAACGAAACAATTCCTTCAATGGGAATGAGCCCTTGCAGGGGCCTATGAAGAGGGAGCTTGGAGGGAGGGTGAATGCCATCATCGTTGATGACTCTTGGGTTTACACTGGTAATATTCCTCTTTCTCCTCCTCCTCCCCCTCCTCCTCTCTCAGCATCACCATCATCATCACCATCAGTATGATCGCGAACATCGTCGCCATCATCATCATCATCATCATCATCATCATCACCACCACCACCACCACCACAACCACCATCACCATCACCATCACCATCATCATTCATTTATTCATTCATTCACTCATTCATTCATTCATTCATTCATTCATGCGTTCATGCATTCATGCATTCATTCATCCGCAGCCGCTTTGGTTCGAGTGACCCTCGGCGGCAATGTCGCCTTCCGACCCGAGCCTGGGCCCAAACCGCGAGTCGTGCTCCCCAAACCCGAGCCAGGGCCCAGACGGGCCCAACGCCGAAGCTATCTCGGAGGATCTCGCCGAGTCGGACGCGGAGTCGGAGGACACCAAGGACGCCAAGGTTGAAGCAGCCGAGCGGGGGGACGCCGAGTTGAACGAATCGGGGTTCGGAGTCGGAGGGCACCAGGGACGCCGATTCGGATTCGGAGTCAGAGGACGTCCAGACGGCTGCAACAGCCAAGGCGTCCAAAAAAAACGGACTCGGAGTCAGAGGACGCCGAGTCGGTTGCGACAGCCAAGACATCCAACAAAAACGGATTCGGGGTCAGAGGACGCCGAGTCGTCTGCAACAGCCAACGCGACCAACAGAATCGGACTCGAGGTCAGGGGACGCCTACTGAGTCGGCTGCAACAGCCAAGGCGTCCAACAAAAACGGACTCGGAGCCAGAGAACGCCGAGTCAGCTGCAGCAGCCAAGACGTCCAACAAGAATGGACTCCGAGTCAGAGGACGCCGAGTCGGTTGCGACAGCTACGGCTTCCATTAACAACGGGCCCGGAATCAGTAGACGCCGAGTCGGTTGCAGCAGCCAAGGCGTCCAACAAAAACGGCTCTGGAGTCAGAGGACGCCGAGTCGGTTACAGCAGCCAAGGCGTCCAGCAACAACGGATTCGGAGTCAGAGGACGCCGAGTCACTTGAAGACGCCGAGTCGGCTGCAACAGCCAAGGCGTCCAACAGAAGCGGACCAGGAGTCGAGGCGTCCAACAAAAACGGCTCTGGAGTCAGAGGACGCCGAGTCGGTTACAACAGCCAAGGCGTCCAACAGAAGTGGACTGGGAGTCAGAGGAAACCGAGTCGGCTGCAACAGCCAAGGCGTCTAACAAAGACGGACTCGGAGTCAGAGGACGCCGAGTCGGTTGCAACAGCCAAGGCGTCCAACAGAAGCGGACCGGGAGTCAGAGGACGCCGAGTCGTCTGCAACAGCAAATGCGTCCAACAAAAATGGACTCAAGGTCGGAGGATGCCGAGTCCATTGCAACAGCCAA